TGTAGCCTATTTTATCTCAAAATACGCAGTTGTGACGTTACCAGTGTAGCGATAGAAATATCCAGACGTTTATATTTGTGTATAAATAGTGTGATGGTTTACATCTATTTTTTAGTTATCATACCGTTTATATTGGCTCGTGATAATAAACTTTTATTACAAGTGTATTGTCTTTTATTACTCACACATTTTGTTTTTCGTATTCTTTGTAAATATTTACAAACAATAGTTGTCTGACAACAGAAAGTGTTTTTAGAAACTATTGTTGTGAATATTTGTAAAGAATATGGAAAATTAAATACAAATTTAAAAGAAAAATAATTATGGGCTATTCAAATCGCCCGCGCTAACTGTTAGTACAGGCAGTCAACAAGAGATGTGCTAAGTGTAACTTTCGCTCGGTAGCGATAAGGACAGATGCGTTTCTGTTTATCTCTGTTGTTCTGTGCCTCTAATCTGTGTCCAACTTCCAACGTGTTTGTTGAGTTTCAACAATTGGTCTCTTCATACATGCGGTATTCGTTTAAAAACTACAATAAAAGAAAGTAAGCTTAAGTAAATATTTAAATAAATCAAGCTTAAGAAAGTGGTGCTGTAAAACGTGTTTTAAACTTTTAAAAGTATTAAGAATGCTGTGAACAACTACTTGCCGGTTTTGAGGTTAGGTGTGTTATTTTATTTTGTTGGGTCGAAGAATTTAAATTATTTCGTGTTGATATAAGTTTTTTTGTACATTTTGTGATGGTTTTGTGATAGTTCTGTGTTTGTTGTCTAAATTTAAAGTTCTATTCCGGATTGAGATGTGCAATTTTAGAATATTGTCAAACACGATTTCTTGCAGAGGTAAGTGAATATATTATAGGGTAGTAGATATTAATGTTTTTTGGGACATGGGTCCAGTAAATAAACAAAACATTTATCGGAATGTTACTTGATTTGGTGATTCTGCGATATACAGAATGATTCAAAAATGTCGGACAATCTCTTGAGTGGTGATAAAAGACATCCAACTGAGTTAAAAGTTCCCATGACAAAAAATCTGTTTTACGAGATATAACTTTTCAAAAATTAAATTTTGGATTAAGTTTTTGACCGATCCGACTATGTAATTTTGAATTTAGCTAGCGGAAACGGCAGATCTTCTAAGACTGAATTGGTACCTCTTGAAAAAAAATATCAATTTTTGTCTTATGTAAAAACCATTTAACAAACTAGCAAATTCAATAATAAATTAAATCCGACAACATCGGAAACAAAAGAGATGCCTACATGATAATATGAAAATTGACACTTCTGTTTTTATCAAAAAAAAAAAGCTTGAAACATTTCATTAGATTATGCATGCCTATTGATTGATAAAAAATAGTCGAAATTTATTATAATTAATAATGACGTATATAATATCACTCAGTTTGTGATAAAAATGTAAATAGTAGTTTCATATTTCGTTCATGAAAATTTAAGTTGAAAGGTGTTTGTAAAAATCAAAAAAATCTTTTATACAGGGTGCGTCAGAACTCGCGCCCCAAAGAAAAATGCCAATAAGGTAAGATACCAGAATCACGTTATGAGAGTTTAATTTGTGGCTTTTATTGGCTAAATTTTTGTACTTTTCCTACATAATTATAAATAAACCTTTACTTAATAATTGTAAAATAACATATAAAAGATCATCAAAAAATGAATGTCAAAATTTTTTGACAGATAGAATTTTTTAAACAACTTGTTGAAATGTTAAATTTTATAAAAAAAATTAAATTGTTCGTTTGAACAATCACTAATAAATCTAAATATTAATTACAACACTAAAAATAAATGTTAATCCAGCACAGTATTTGTTATACATAAATATAATTTTTTAATTTTATTACGGTGGATTGGACAATAAAAAATAAATGTAATTTTAAACCTAAAATTTGATATCTTAAACGTATTTTTACGTTGGTTTTGAACTCTCCCATTGCAATCCTAATCGACATATTTTTTATTTAAATTAAATTGAGTTGAAAATTTTAAAAAGAAAACCACCTCTAACTTAAAAACAAATCGACAAGAAATTTTTTTCTTTGACAGTTAGATACGCTCATTTTTTTCCTTTTCGAAAATGCCTCAAAATGTAGAGGGTGCCATTTAAAATTTTGAAGTAGCGGTGGGTAGCGATTGGGGGATGAAACTTAAAATGTAACTAATGTTGGTTGAAAATACATTTACTCAATGTCAAAAGTTATTGAGATTGGCTCCTTTTGAAATGAAAGCCTTGTATACAAGATCATCAGTGTTATTAAATAGATATAAAATAATGTCAAATGTCAAAAAATAAATGTAATTTTTTTTAACAGATAGAGTTTTTTAAACATTTTTTCATGTTTCTTGGATCTTATCTTACTTGAAATTTTTCTATGGGGCGCGAGTTTTGACTAACATACCCTGTATAACATATGCATTTTTCTTTGCAATGGATCTTGATCATCGAA